AAGAACGTTTGTTATTCCTATCCTTTCTTTGTTAGCCATTACCCCTTAACCCCAAGCCCTGTTACAACCCTTGACTTCAATCTTGAGTGTTGTGTGTTTCAATTTGTGGAGTTTGAAATTGGTATAAGAGTTGATGATGCATATGGTGTCACTGGTTCTCGCATCTAAGTAGTAGCATTCCATTCATGAGATCATATCTAAACATGCTTATTAACTCCAGAAATTGCTTTCTTTGTTATAACATATGTGAGTACTAGTCTTTCCATGTTTACATCAATCTTCTCACATATAACTAGTGTAAGGGTGTGTAGTCAGAAAATGTGTGTGAAAATAGAGAGTATCTTGTAAGGAATTGAGGGAAATTCTCTAAGGCATGTTACTACATTCAAAATGTTGTTTTAATTGATTAAATGTGAACTAGTGAAGTGGTGACTATGATTAAGTATGTGCTCGAAGGGTAAGGATTGCTTAAATCTATTTAAGTGGTGATCATTGGCATGTCAACATGTCATTCATTGAAAATCCCTGAGGCAAATGTTGGAAGGTCTAGGTTATGTTTTGTTTGTTTCGTTTGTTTTGTTTTGCTCGAGGACTAGCAAAAGCTAAGTGTGGGGGAATTTGATAGGAGCATATTTATGCGACTTAGTTAGCTTGTTCTTGTGCATTTATGTTGTTATTTCTTAGTCAATTGTGTATTTTAAACTATTTTCGTGTGTTTGTAGGTTCAAATAACAAAGTTAGCAACAAAGTGCTATTTAGAGCATTTTGGAGCATTTTTGGGCCAAGATTGGATACTGCAAGCATGGAGACATGAGGATGGACGTTTTTTAAGATTTGAAGGCTAGAAATCAGCATGTGTGTGTGCAAATGTGTTGACCTACAACTCCAAACATCCATCCACTACACCTATTACATCCACTCATTACCAAACATCCATCTACTACACCCATTACATCCACTCATTACCAAACATCCATCCACTACAGCCATTACATCCACTCATTACAAAACACTCATCCACTACACCCATTACATCCACTCATTACCAAACATCCATCCACTACACCCATTACATCCACTCAATACCACAACATACACCACTACCACCTTAATTAGATGGTGGTCCTCTCCCTAGCCTATAAATACATCCACCCTTCACCATAACAAGGGAGAGGAGAAAAGATCCATCAAAAGACACTACATTCACATCTCACAACTCCATACACTTACACTTTCATTCCTTGGCCGGGAGAACACAATCCACCCATCCACCCTTCACCATAACTCACATATATCCATCCACCACCATAATTTACCACTCATCCATCAAACCACACCTTGTGCCGCAACAAAGAGAAGAAGGAGGACCCTTGGACGTGCTTGCCATTCAAATTGGATTGTTGGAGCGTTTTTAGGTGTTTTCATTCTTTTGTTTTCAATGTCTAAATTTGTTTATCTTTGCTTTGTAAGTATGAGGAACTAAACCCCCCTTAGCTAGAGGGGAATTCGAAACCATGTTAATGTTTGCAATATGATTTGATTACCTTGAGTTGTGATTTTATAAGTTGTGAATTCAATTTGTTTAACTGCTTGATTGATAACTTATTCATGTATGTTTATTAAGAGTGCACACTTAGTTTGCATGCATGAATATGATGCTAGAGTATAAGGGAGTTTCACCTAATAGTTACAAACTTATATTCACAAGTAGTGGAGGTCGCTTATAAACGATCGCGTTAAATAAATTCTTGGCAGGAGTTTCATGCTCATCATAGTAACGAATGCCTCGTCAATACTTATAGTTTTCATAATGCTTAATGATCTTTGATTGTATCTTTATTGTGCTATTCACGTAAAGAACTTTTGAAGAATGCTTGAATTGTTGTATGCGTTTTCCCATCCAATTCAATAACTTAAGGAGAACTTGAAGGTTAATTTAAGCGGACTTAATTAACTTGAGGGGTTGAGTTTCATGATTGATCGAAAGAACAACTAAAAATTAGTTTATGTGCAAGTATGTCATGTGTGGAGAAGAACCTCCTAGCTAGCCTTCCATCCATTCAATTCACTCAAATTCGTGCAGATTTCATTAGTTCTTTAATTTACTTGTTTTGTTTTCAAATTCGTCAAAACCAAAACCCCATTTACTTTAAAGTGTTTTATTAGTCAAAATTTGTTTTGATTTGTGTTTTTAGGTGTCCCAAAAGTGTGTTAGAGTCCAAATCTACCTAGTTTGTGTTTTTAGGCAGATTTGAGCGTTTTTAGCTTGTTTTGAGTCCTTTGAGTTTGTTTTAAGTTCTTTGAGTCTAGTTTAGTGTTTTTAACTTTGTTTATATGTTTTTAAGTCAGTTTAGAGGTTTTAGCAAGCCCTCCTAATCCCCGGTTTAGAACGATCCCTACTTGCATTTATACTACAATTTGACAACAAGAGGGTTTAATTTGTGTGTTAAGTTAATTTTCACATTAATGTTCCCCTCCATTGCCTTGCACTTCCTCTATAAAAGGAAGTGTGTGTAACATAAATTGAGTTCATACTTGGATAGATCATTCACTCCCATTTCAACACAACCTTCATCCAAACACATACATTCATCTTCACATCCATTCATCTTCACATCCATTCCTCCATACAAACAAACCTTCAACACTCACCAACACCTTGTGCCGTAGCAAAGGAAAGGAAGGAAAGTGCTTGGACGTGCTTGTTGTCCAACTTGGATCGTTGGAGCGTTTAGGTGTTTTCTTTCTTTTGTTTCTAATGTTTAAATTCATTTCCTTTCGTTTTGTTGTAAATACCCCTCTTAGCTAGGGGTGACTTCAAAGCCATGATTATGTGTGCAATATAATTTGATAAATTGTAGTTATGAACTCTTGAATCATGAATGCAATTGGCTTAACTATTTGATTGATAACTTATTTTTATTTGTTAATTAAGGGTCGAAACTTAATTGGCATGCATAAATTCGTTGCTAGAATATAAGGAAGTTTCACATAATCGGTACAAACTTATATTCACATGTAGTGAAGGTCGCTTATAAATGATCGCGTTAAGTTCAATTCGTAGCATAAGTGACATGATGTCATAGTTGCAAGTGCTTTGTCAATGCTTATGATTTTCATTAAACATAATGATCTCTGATTGTATCTCTATTATGATGTCATGTAGGGAACTTTTGAAGAATGTTTTGGGTTATCGAATGATGTCATCCAATCCAATAAAACAAGGAAAATCTTAGAGTTAACTAGTGATGTCACGGTTAATTTGGAGCATTGTCGTTCATAATTCAATGAAGTAGTAACTGGAAATCGAGTTATTTGCATACATGTCATGTGTGGAGAAAAATCCTCTAGCTATCCCATCCATCATCTTATTTCTCAAATTTGTTTTACAATCTGTTTAGCTTTTCATACTTGTTTGTTTGTTTCAACTTCGTCCAAAACTCAATCCCCCTTTACTTTAGTGTGTCTAATTAGTTAGAATATGTTTTAATTTATGTTTTTAAATGTTTTGATTCAAGTAAAAGTCAATTTTCGTCCAAAGTCATTCCTAGTGTCTAGTTTAAGTTTATTTAGTTATTTTAAGCTGTTTTGAGTATTTTAAGTTTTCTTTGAGTCTTGTGAGTCTTGTTAAGTGGTTTTAAGTTTAGTTTTATGTTTTTGAGTCAGTTTAGAGGTTATTAGCAAGCCCTCCTAATCCCCGGTCCAGAACGATCCCTACTTATACTTGTACTACAATTGTCAAAAGAGGGTTAAATTTGTGTGTTAAGATAATTTTCGCATCATGAAGTCAAGCAAATCCAATCCCAAGAGAACTTTGCCAACCTCTTCACGAAGTCACTTCTGAACTCTACTTCTAAAAGCATATCCAAAGAATTGGTATGCATAAATTGTTTGATTTGCAATGCTTGTAGTTCTCATTTGGAAGTTTTGTCGAACTCAAGGGGAGTATCCAGAAGTATGCTCGTTTGACTTTAATATACTATTTTTTCCTTAGATTATGAGCATTTTTTCCACTGGGTTCTTTCTACCTAACGAGGTTTTAATGAGGCACCTATACTAAACTTATCATACCCTTATGTGCATTCTACTTACGTCCTAAATGCATTTAGTTTTAACTTAATGCATCTTTTCACCTTTCTCCTTAGACTATGGGGTTTTTATCCCACCTTGGGTTTTACCATAACCAAGTTTTGTAAGTTTTACTTATGCATTCTTCAATTTATTTTTAGACTCGCATGCCCTCATTGTGCAGACTAGACGAGATGACTTCATTACCTGCTTCTAGATCATACATGATATGATGCGACCACTACTTGAATATTTACACTCATGGAGAGTGTTATTAATTATAGCACATGTGATTGTGCAAATCATCAGTACATTGTATGTAGCATTCTAGAAGATCTTATCCCTTTATGAATATATTACTTGCAAGACAAGGAATCCTATTCAATTTACTATAAAGAAAGACAAAAAATTCCTCATCTTTCTTGTCTCTCTTTGCTACACTCTCTCTCCCTCCAGTAAAATAAGTTACAATACTAAGTAAATTAATGAAAGTATTTTCTACCTTTCGAGTGATTGGGCCTTAGCTCAAGGAAAATTTCATGTGTCACCGTTGCATATCCAACAAGATATGAAAGTTTTTTTTTTCTTTACCACTCGACCATAGTACTAAGTGGCAACAAGATATGAAAGTTTATTAGGTTCGTCACAGAGTTCGAGAGCCTCCATCTGTCCAACGTTTTTCAGTCTCACATCTTATGCCCTTATGTATTCTCCTTAAATGCGGGCCCATTAGAATCATATAATTTGTAGATTGAACCGTTTTGGAGGCTCAAAGTCAAAAGTTGGTATCCTTGTCTCCCACAAAAAATAAACAAAAAGTTGCCCAAATATTAAAAATGGCAAGAAATTCATTGACCACAATTAAAACAATGTGCATAAATATGATTAGTTGGGGGTGGGATGGGATTATTATTTTACTAACAAAAGAAGAATAACAAGAATAATTGATTGCTTTACAAATCTAATGAATTATGACCATACAATGAGGACAAACAGAATTCTTCAATTTGCCAGACATTGATTGATAGAGATTATTGTCCTAAACTTTTAACAATCAAAGGTTTATGATCACTAGTTTGGTATGGTATATACTCAACTCAAACATTAAAATGCTTTTCTTTTTTTGAAACGTACATTTGCTTCGAGCCTCTCGTCTTTTGCCAATTTCAGACAAATTCCGTCAACCATGCGTTTTAGACAACTCCGTCAGCCATCCATTTTAGACAATTCGTGTTTCACCAGTTTGAGGCCACAATAACACCAAGTTAAAAACTGAAGGGACAATGCCTCGTTGCATATCCTTGAGAAGTCCAACAATGGGGAGGGCAGGCCGTAGTAGAAAATATCACGATTCTTTGAGAACCATGCACCCCACAGCATGTGAGTGGTCCAGTTGGATATGGAGCTGCCATCAGTAAATTCATTTTGAGCAGCACCGAAATCTGCATGAGGACAAAGTACTAATTAAATCTAAGAGCACAAGTGTTCAGACATTATTCAACAATAATGCAATGGCCTTTCACAGATCATTTATAGAAAGCATTAATGACTGGAACGTTATACAACAACAACAACAACAACAAAGCCTTTTCCCATTAAGTGGGGTCGGCTATATGAATCCTAGAACGCCATTGTGCGCGGTTTTGTGTCATATCCTCCGTTAGATCCAAGTACTCTAAGTCTTTTCTTAGGGTCTCTTCCAAAGTTTTCCTAGATCTACCTCTACCCCTTCAGCCCTGAACCTCTATCCCGTAGTCCCATCTTCGAACCGGAGCGTCAGTAGGACTTCTTTGTACATGTCCAAACCCATTTTGTGTACGTGTTGATGCTTCATCGCCCAACATTCTGTGCCATACAGCATCGCCGGCCTTATTGTCGTCCTATAAAATTTTCCCTTGAGCTTTAGTGGCCTACGACGGTTACACAACACGCCGGAAGCACTCTTCCACTTCATCCATCCAGCTTGTATTCTATGGTTGAGATCTCCATCTAATTCTCCGTTCTTTTGCAAGATAGATCCTAGGTAGCGAAAACGGTCGCTCTTTGGTATTTCCTGATCTCCGATCCTCACCCCTAACTCATTTTGGCCTTCATTTGCAATGAACTTGCACTCCATATATTCTGTCTTTGATCGGCTTAGGCGAAGACCTTTAGATTCCAACACTTCTCTCCAAAAGTTAAGCTTCGCATTTACCCCTCCTGAGTTTCATCTATCAACACTATATCGTCTACGAAAAGCATACACCAAGGAATATCATCTTGAATATGTCCTGTTAACTCATCCATTACCAACGCAAAAAGGTAAGGACTTAAGGATTGTTGATGCACAAAATCAGTGAGGACTTTGGTACAACAGAGAGTATTAAGTTTGTGATCTTCGCTAGATTGCTCTGGTCATTAGTGTGGATAAGTATGTAAATGGATGGAGACAGGAAAGCAAACACAAGATGTACGTGGTTCACCCAGATTGGCTACGTCCACGGAGTAGAGGAGTTCTCATTAATTGTGAAGGGTTTATGCAAGTACATAGGTTCAAGCTCTCCTTTAGTGAGTACAAGTGAATGATTTAGTACAAATGACATAGGTGCAGGCTCTCGTCTTTACTTGCCTTAAGTGTCTCATAGGTAGATGACATCTTCTCTGGCAGTACGCTTCCTCCATCCAGGGGTGGTATCTTTAACTGGTGGAGATGCACAAGGTAATGTATCAATTTCACTTGAAGCTTACTTGTAGTTTCAGACTTGGTCAAGCGCGATACAAACCATGTAGTATGAGTCCCCCAAGTCGCTGAGCTAGGGGATCTGCTGAAAGAGGTGACAGACAAGGTAAGCAATCAGAGCTCCAAGCAATCAGTCCCAGATCAGAAGTTTGATTTCGAGTTCCGGCTGATTGTTCTCATTCTCCCTATCTTGCAGGCAGCATGAAGGATAAAGAGAAGAAAAGGAGAATAGATGATATGAGATACTTTTGCTTTTGAAGAAGTAACTTTCCATAAGCTTATTCTTGAACTGGGCTGGAGGATTTTCTGGTTTCCTCCAGAGTATAAGGCCGACTGAAGAATTTGAGGGTCAAAACACGTTCATCAAATCTAGAGTACGTTCGACCCTGCTGATATGGGATACTTTTGCTGTTGACAAAGTAGTGGATGTATCGGCACGTGTTCTGTTATGCTTGTCTCCACATGCTTCCTTGTATCCTTCTCACTTTCCCTATCTGTTCCTCAGGCAGATGTGGTATCTTCTCTGGAAGCTTAAGATGTTGAAGATGGGTACTCGAGAGCAATACCAGGTAAGTAATCAGGTAAGGGGTTCCAGGCAGTCAGTTCCTGACTGGAAACTTGATTCTAAGTGCTGACTGATTGCTCTCTTTCTCCTTGTCTTGCAGGTAAGAACAAGGCCAAAGGAAAAGACAGGGAAAAAGCATGATATGTGATACTCTTGCTTTTAACCCTGATGATATGAGATATTCTTGCTCTGGTGTAGCTTGTTTGCAGAGGTATTATCGGGGGGAAAAAAAGCTGAGTATTTCGAGAGGCTTCGTTGGGAGTGCCCTCTCAGATATGAGGAAGGGTTAAGCATTTTTGCAGGTCTGCCTGTCCGTTGAGGATGGAGGTCGACATATATAGGAGTTTCCCTAACAAGTAGTAATGCTATTCGTTTACCCTGCTTGGTCATAACACGGTAGTGGGAGCTGCCAGCTTCACGTGTGTCAGAGCACTTTGAAAAAGTGGTCTATGGTATCTGGAAAGCTGATGTTGCGTGTGAAGATTACAGACAAGCTTTATCCAAAAAGATCTGGCTCTCGAAGTTGAGAAAGCGGTGCCTCTTCGGTTTTCGTACAAGCAATCCTGTCGGAGATCTGGCTCTCGAGATTCAGAAAACGGTGCCTCTTCGATTTTTTAGAGAGCAATCCTGCTGGGAGTCTAGCTCTCGAGATTCGGAGAGCGGTGTCTCTTCGATTTTTGAGAAAGTAATCATGTTGGGAGTCTGGCTCTCAAGATTCGGAGGACGGTACCGCTTCGATTTTGGAGCAAGCAATCTTGTTGGGAGTGTTTTCTCGAATGTAAGTAAAGGTTGGGCATGTTTGCTAGTCTACCTTGCCACAGAGCACAGAGGTTGACACACAAGGACTTTCCAATTATCCAGCAGCGGTGCTGTTCCTTTACCCTTGTAGGTAATAATATGGTAACTAGACCTTCAAAATTTATGTATCTAAACTTTGTTAGTGCTGTTTCTTTGCTATTCTTTTACCTTTCTTGGTCATAGCGATGTAGTGGGAGCTGCAAGCTTCATGTGTCTAAACTTTGTCAGAAATCTTTGGTAAAGTTATCTATGGTACCCATGAGCTGATGGTGCGTGTGGAAAGTGGATGATTGAACAGTAAGATTCACGTGCTTTCTACTTCACTAGAAATCTTCAACAGAATGCCCGTAATTTCAGTAAAGCTGAGTGTGCATGTGACAGGTGCTGACAAGGCTGAAAAAGCAGGTGCCTCTTCGATTTCTGAGATCGGCCATCGTGGTCATTGAGCAGCCCAGCTTTTGAGAAAGCAAGCGCCTCTTCGATTTCTGAGATCAGCCTTCGTGGTCTTTGAGCAGCCCAGCTTTTGAGAAAGCAAACGCCTTTTCGATTTCTGAGATCGGCCCTCGTGGTCTCTGAGCAGCCCAGCTTTTGAGAAAGCAAACGTCTCTTCGATTTCTGGGCAAGCGCCTCTTCGATTTCTGAAACTCCGTCGAGTGCAGATTTTTATAAGGGCTGGCATTAAGTTCCAAAGCACACTTGAATCATCACCAGTAGAAGCTCCCTTCTTGCACTTCTAAGATCTTGATTTGTTCGACCTCTTCTCTCTTCAACACCTTTGAAAATGTCTGGCCCTTCCGACCGTCATTTTGACTTGAACCTCGTTGAAGAGGCAGCCACGCCTTATCCAGACAACATATGGCGCCCATCCTTCTTATCCCCTACTGGTCCGCTTACCGTTGGGGATTCCGTAATAAAGAATGATATGACTGCTGCGGTGGTGGCCAGGAACCTTCTCACTCCCAAAGATAACAGACTACTTTCCAAACGGTCTGATGAGTTGGCTGTTAAGGATTCTCTGGCTCTAAGTGTTCAGTGTGCAGGTTCTGTGTCTAATATGGCCCAGCGCCTATTTGCTCGAACCCGCCAAGTTGAATCATTGGCGGTTGAAGTGATGAGTCTCAAACAAGAAATTAAAGGGCTCAAGCATGAGAACAAACAGTTGCACCGGCTCGCACATGACTATGCTACAAACATGAAGACGAAGCTTGACCAGATGAAGGAATCTGATGGTCAGGTTTTACTTGATCATCAGCGGTTTGTGGGTTTGTTCCAAAGGCATTTATTGCCTTTGTCTTCTGGGGCTGTACCGCGTACTGAAGCTCCAAATGATCAACCTTCGATGCCTCCTCCTTCTAGGGTTCTGTCCAATACTGAAGCTCTGAATGATCCCCCTCCGGTGCCTTCTCTTTTTGGGGCTCTACCGACTGCTGAGACTTCTCCTAAGCAACCTTTGTGAAGGCTCCCTCTTGTTTGTTTATTTTGACTCATGTATATGTACATATTTGTAACTTATCGGAGATATCAATAAATAAGTTTTGCTTCATTTTAACGTATTGTGTTAAATAAACCAAAGCCTTCTTCACTGAGTGGGGTCGGCTATATGAATCTTAGAATGCTATTGTGCTCGGTCATGTATCATGTCCTCCGTTAGATCCAAATACTCTAAGTCTTTTCTTAGAGTCTCTTCCAAAGTTTTCCTAGGTCTTCCTCTACCTCTCCGGCCCTAGAGCTCTGTCCCGTAGTCGCATCTTCTAACCGGAGCGTCAGTAGGCTTTCTTTGCACATGTCCAAACCACCGTAACCGATTTTCTCTCAATTTTCCTACAATTTTGGCTACTCCTACTTTACCTCGAATATCCTCATTCCTAATCTTGTCATTTCTCGTGTGCCCACACATCCAACGAAGCATCCTCATCTCCGCTACAACCATTTTGTGTACGTGTTGATGCTTCACCGCCCAACATTCTGTGCCATACAGCATCGCCGGCCTTATTGATGTCCTAGAAAATTTTCCCTTGAGCTTCAGTGGCATACGGCGATCACACAACATGCTGGATGCACTCTTCCACTTCATCCATCCAGCTTGTATTCTATGGTTGAGATCTCCATCTAATTCTCTGTTCTTTTGCAAGATAGATCCTAAGTAGCGAAAACGATCGCTCTTTGGTATTTCCTGATCTCTGATCCTCACCCTTAACTCATTTTGGCCTCCAATTGCACTGAACTTGCACTCCATATATTCTGTCTTTGATCGGCTTAGGCGAAGACCTTTAGATTCCAACACTTCTCTCCAAAGGTTAAGCTTCGCATTTACCCCTTCCTGAGTTTCATCTATCAACACTATATCGTCTGCGAAAAGCATACACCAAGGAATATCATCTTGAATATGTCCTGTTAACTCATCCATTACCAACGCAAAAAGGTAAGGACTTAAGGATGAGCCTTGATGTAATCTTACAGTTATGGGGAAGCTTTCGGTTTGTCATTCATGAGTTCTTACGACAGTCTTTGCTCCTTCATACATATCCTTTATAGCTTGGATATATGCTACTCGTACTCCTTTCTTCTCTAAAATCCTCCAAATAATGTCTCTTGGGACCCTATCATACGCTTTTTCCAAATCTATAAAGACCATGTGTAAATCCTTTTTCCCATCTCTATATCTTTCCATCAATCTTCGTAAGAGATAGATTGCCTCCATGGTTGAGCGCCCTGGCATGAACCCGAATTGGTTGTCCAAAACCCGTGTCTCTTGCCTCAATCTATGCTCAATGACTCTCTCCCAGAGCTTCATTGTATGGCTCATTAGCTTAATACCCCTATAGTTCATGCAATTTTGTACATCGCCCTTATTCTTGTAGATAGGCACCAAAGTGCTATTTCGCCACTCAGTTGGCATCTTCTTCGTTTTCAAAATCCTATTGAAAAGGTCAGTGAGCCATGCTATACCTGTCTCTCCCAAGACTTTCCACACTTCGATCGGTATATCGTCTGGGCCCACTGCTTTTTTATGCTTCATCTTCTTCAAAGCTACAACCACTTCTTCCTTCCTGATTCGACGATAAAAGGAGTAGTTTCTACACTCTTCTGAGTTACTCAACTCCCCTAAAGAAGTACTCCTTTCATGTCCTTCATTGAAAAGATTATGAAAATAACCTCTCCATCTGTCTTTGACCGCATTCTCTGTAGCAAGAACCTTTCCATCCTTATCCTTGATGCACCTCTCTTGGTTTAGGTCCCTTGTCTTCTTTTCCCTTGCTCTAGCTAGTTTATAGATATCCAACTCTCCTTCTTTGGTATCTAGTCGCTTATACATGTTGTCATAAGCCGCTAACTTAGCTTCTCTCACAGCTTTCTTCGCCTCTTGTTTCGCTCTTCTATACCTTTCACCATTTTAATCGGTCCTGTCCTTGTATAAGGCTTTACAACATTCCTTCTTAGCCTTCACCTTTGTTTGTACCTCCTCATTCCACCACCAAGATTCCTTTTGGTGTGGGGCAAAGCCCTTGGACTCTCCTAATACCTCTTTTGCTACTTTTCGGATACAACTAGCCATGGAATCCCACATTTGGCTAGCTTCCCCCTCTTTATCCCACCCACACTGGGTGATTACTTTCTCTTTAAAAATGGCTTGTTTTTCTCCTTTTAGATTCCACCATCTAGTCCTTGAGCACTTCCAAGTCTTGTTCTTTTTTCTCACTCTTTTGATATGTACATCCATCACCAACAAGCGATGTTGATTAGCCAAGCTCTCTCCCGGTATAACTTTGCAATCCTTACAAGCTATATGATCCCCTTTCCTCATTAGAAGAAAATCTATTTGTGTTTTTGACGACCCACTCTTGTAGGTGATCACATGTTCTTCTCTCTTCTTAAAGAAGGTGTTGGCTAAGAAGAGATCATATGCCATTGCAAAATCCAAGATAGCTTCCCCATCCTCGTTTCTCTCCCCAAAACCATGACCACCATGAAAACCTCTATAGTTGCCTGTCTCCCTGCCCACGTGTCCATTTAAATCTCCTCCTATAAATAACTTCTCCGTCTGGGCAATTCCTTGCACCAAGTCTCCAAGGTCTTCCCAAAATTTCTCCTTCGAACTCATATTCAACCCTACTTGAGGTGCGTACGCACTAATGACATTGATGAGTTCTTGTCCTATTACAATCTTGATTGCCATGATTCTATCTCCTACCCTCTTGACATCTACAACATTTTGTGTCAAGATCTTGTCCACGATGATGCCAACACCGTTTCTCGTTCTACTTGTGCCTGAATACCAAAGTTTAAACCCTGAGTTTTCTAGATCCTTTGCCTTAACACCAACCCACTTAGTTTCTTGTAGGCACATAATATTTATCCTTCTCCTCACCATAACTTCCACTACTTCCATAGATTTTTCTGTTAAGGTTCCTATATTCCACGTTCCTAAACGCATTCTACTCTCTTGAACTCTACCCTTCTGTCCTAGCTTATTCACCGTCCCCCGTCCAATAGGATCAAAGTACTTCTTTTGTGTGTCCTGTGTAAAGTTGATAGGAGCATATGCTCCCAAACAACTTTGAGTGGAGTCGTTCGAAAAGAAGTTTCTATGGCCCCCTTGCTCATTTAACACTGCATCCGGGTGCCGATGGAGATACAGCAACCCTTGCTCACTTATCACTGTGCTCGGGCCACACAGCGCGCCACTTACGGGTGACGCCCTAGCTTTAGCGCGATTTCGTTCTGGATTCATTTTCATAAGGATTCGACGTAACTGTGGAGTGCCGGTTGTCGACTACCTGACGCTCTCCCCCTCCTCCTTTACCCGGGCTTGGGACCGGCAATGTAAGATAAACTTACACAGGCGGAGTTAATGACTGGAACGTTATAGAGTAAAAAAAATTACCTAGTGGAATAACAATCATATGGGTTCTCTCTTTGTGGTGCAAAGCCGTAGAAGGTAACTAGATGACAACTGGAGAAATTTCCATAACGTAACACTGTAAGACAGCATTCTTGTCCTGCACTGCATGATCTTGATAGACAGGATTTCAAGGTAGATAATACAAGGCCATTATTTCCTGGTGGCATTTAAGTCTTTAAAATAAACAATCTGTCTAGGAGTGTGGCAACCAATTCACAAAAGCATATTGGCTAGATGGTTATAATCAGTTGCCGGTAGCGATCCTTTCCATGGATATCAACCAACAAGTGATTCAGTTTCCAACTTCAAACAACTTAAGATTTAGGTTTCTCAGCAGCGAATGCAACAACAGGATAACTCAAGAAAGAAAACAAACAAAAGTAGTCCTACTTATAAGTTGGAAAGACAACAAACAAGCAGCATTGCCAGCAGACAAGAATGTGAACTTCAACATTCCCCAAGAAGTAAACAGACAACAAAGATGAGTTAATTAAAGTGCGGCCACTGAACAGTGTACCAGGTTTTTAGAACCCAAGTAGATTACAAATAGTGACTATAAAAAATGTACACTAAATGAGGTGATTTTTGTTGGACAGGGCTGAATATCATTGTCAGCCTGATCTCCCATTTACAAGTGACCACCCATTCTTATATGCATGAATCATGCAACAGTATGGACAATTTTTTTGTCTATAACTGAAAAAAGAGGTCATAAATGTCAAAAAAGGTAATCTAATAACAATACATTGAAACGTCTAATAACCTGTTTTGCTCGTGTTATCTCATCCAACAGCACAGTTCCAACCAAAACCATCATCACGTTGGCTCCAAAACTCAACCTTGCAGCATTTAGGGAAGAATGATTAAGAAATAAAGGAAAAGATAAATTAAAACAAACAAATCACTGTAATAATATCAGAAATGGTCCTCCAATACACCAAATATGCATACTTATTTTATATGGTGTAATACTAAATAACTTCACCTAATTCTTTATCTATACAAATAAAAATAGACAAGAATATTTTTCTGCACAACACCCCACCGCAATTCTTCAAACTTCCAAGAAACTAAAACCAACAGTTTCCCTCTGTGGTCTGCACCTTATTGCAAGTCCACCTTAGTTGAAAGCTTTTAAGATTCAAATATGTGACAATAAGAAATTTGTAGTTTTATGAAACATCATTTTCCTGGCATCTTTTTTTTTTCTCATGTACAAATCTATCTAGAACTCCGCCGTGTAAGTTTATCTTACATTGCCGGTCCCAAGCCCGGATAAAGGAGGAGGGGGAGGGCATCAGGTAGTCGACAGCCGGCACTCCATGATCACGTCGAATCCTTATGAAAATGAATCCAGAACGAAATCGCGCTAAAGCTAGGGCGTCACCCGTAAGTGGCGCGCTGTGTGGCCCGAGCACAGTGATAAGTGAGCAAGGGTCGCTGTATCTTCATCGGCACCCGGATGCAGTGTTAAATGAGCAAGGGGCTATAGAAACTTCTTTTCGAACGACTCCACTCAAAGTTGTTTGGGAGCATATGCTCCTATCAACTTTACACGGGACACACAAAAGAAGTACTTTGATCCTATTAGACGGGGAAGGGTGAAGAAGCTAGGACAGAAGGGTAGAGTTCAAGAGAGCAAAATGCGTTTAGGAACGTGGAATATAGGAACCTTGACGGGAAAATCTATGGAAGTAGTAGAAGTTATGGTGAGGAGAAGGATAAATATTATGTGCCTACAAGAAACTAAGTGGGTTGGTCGTAAGGCAAAGGATCTAGAAAACTCAGGGTTTAAACTATGGTATTCGGGCACAAATAGAACGAGAAACGGTGTTGGCATCATCGTGGACAAGACCTTGACACAAGATGTTGTAGATGTCAAGAGGGTAGGAGATAGAATCATGGCAATCAAGATTGTAATAGGACAAGAACTTATCAATGTGATTAGTGCGTACGCACCTCAAGTAGGGTTGGATACGAGTTCGAAGGAGAAATTTTGGGAAGACCTTGGAGACTTGGTGCAAAGAATTGCTCAGACGGAGAAGTTATTTATAGGAGAAGATTTAAATGGACAAGTGGGCAGGGAGACAGGCAACTATGGAGGTTTTCATGGTGGCCATGGTTTTGGGGAGAGAAACGAGGATGGGGAAGCTATCTTGGATTTTGCAATGGCATATGATCTCTTCTTAGCCAACACCTTCTTTAAGAAGAGAGAAGAACATGTGATCACCTACAAGAGTGGGTCGTCAAAAACACAAATAGATTTTCTTCTAATGAGGAAAGGGGATCGTATAACTAACTTGTAAGGATTGCAAAGTTATACCAGGAGAGAGCGTGGCTAATCAACATCGCTTGTTGGTGATGGATGTACATATCAAAAGAGTGAGAAAAAAGAACAAGACTTGGAAGTGCCCAAGGACTAGATGGTGGAATCTAAAAGAAAAAAAACAAGCCATTTTCAAAGAGAAAGTAATCACCCAGTGTGTGTGGGATAGAGAGGGGGAAGCTAACCAAATATGGGATTCCATGGCTAGTTGTATCCGAAAAGTAGCAAAAGAGGTATTAGGAGAGTCCAAGGGCTTTACAAGGGCTTTGCCCCACACCAAAAGGAATCTTGGTGGTGGAATGAGGAGGTACAAACAAAGGTGAAGGCTAAGAAGGAATGTTGTAGAGCCTTATACAAGGATAGGACCGATGAAAATGGTGAGAGGTATAGAAAAGCGAAGCAAGAGGCGAAGAAAGCTGTGAGAGAAGCTAAGTTAGCGGCTTATGACGATATATGTATAAGCGACTAGATACCAAAGAAGGAGAGTGGGATATCTATAAACTAGCTAGAGCAAGGGAAAAGAAGACAAGACAAGGGACCTAAACCAAGTGAGGTGCATCAAGGATGAGGATGGAAAGGTTCTTGCTACAGAGAACGCGGTTAAAGACAGATGGAAAGGTTATTTTCATAATCTTTTCAATGAAGGACATGAAATGAGTGCTTCTTTAGGGGAGTTGAGTAACTCAAAAGAGTGTAGAAACTACTCTTTTTATCGTAGAATCCGGAAGGAAGAAGTGGTTGTAGCTTTGAAGAAGATGAAATGCATAGAAAGAGCAGTAGGCCAGACGACGATATACCAATCGAAGTGTGGAAAGTTTTGGGAGAGACAGGTATAACATGGCTCACTGACATTTTCAATAGGATTTTGAAAACGAAGAAGATGCCAAATGAGTGGCGAACGAGCACTTTGGTGCCTATCTACAAGAATAAGGGCGATGTACAAAATTGCATGAACTATAGGGGTATTAAGCTAATGAGTCATACAATGAAGCTCTGGGAGAGAGTCATTGAGTATAGATTGAGGCAAGAGACACGGGTTTCGGACAACCAATTCGGGTTCATGCCAGGGCGCTCAACCATGGAGGCAATCTATTTATTACGAAGATTGATGGAAAGATATAGAGATGGGAAAAAGGATTTACACATGGTCTTTATAGATTTGGAAAAAGCGTATGATAGGGTCCCAAGAGACATTCCTTGGAGGATTTTAGAGAAGAAAGGAGTACGAGTAGCATATATCCAAGCTATACAGGATATGTATGAAGGAGCAAAGACTTCCGTAAGAACTCATGAAGGACAAACAGAAAGCTTTCCCATAACTGTAGGATTACATCAAGGCTCATCCTTAAGTCCTTACCTTTTTGCGTTGGTAATGGATGAGTTAACAGGACATATTCAAGATGATATTCCTTGGTGTATGCTTTTCGCAGACGATATAGTGTTGATAGATGAAACTCAGGAAGGGGTAAATGCAAAGCTTAACCTTTGGAGAGAAGTGTTGGAATCTAAAGGTCTTCGCCTAAGCCGGTCAAAGACAGAATATATGGAGTGCAAGTTCAGTGCAAATGGAGGCCAAAACGAGTTAGGGGTGAGGATCAGAGATCAAGAAATACCAAAGAGCGACCGTTTTCGTTACCTAGGATCTATTTTGCAAAAGACCGGAGAATTAGATGGAGATCTCAACCATAGAATACAAGCTGGATGGATGAAGTGGAAGAGTGCATCCGGCGTGTTGTGTGACCGCCGTATGCCACTGAAGCTCAAGGGAAAATTTTATAGGACGGCAATAAGGCCGGCAATGCTGTATGGCACAGAATGTTGGGCGGTGAAGCATCAACACGTACACAAAATGGGTGTAACGGAGATGAGGATGCTTCGTTGGATGTGTGGGCACACGAGAATGGATAAGATTAGGACTGAGGATATCCGAGGTAAAGTAGGAGTAGCCGAAATTGAAGGAAAGATGAGAGAAAATCGGTTACGGTGGTTTGGACATGTGCAAAGAAGGCCTACTGACGCTCCGATTAGAAGATGCGACTATGGGACAGAGGTTCAGGGCCGAAGGGGTAGAGGAAGACCTAGGAAAACTTTGGAAGAGACCCTAAGAAAAGACTTAGAGTACTTGGATCTAACGGAGGACATGACACAGGACAAAACACAATGGCGTTCTAAGATTCATATAGCCGATCCCACTCAGTGACTTGGATTTTCCAAGTCTCCAACCGAGAAGTTTTCCTCACTCGGGAAATTAAGGGAACACTACCTCAACCTACATGCTCCACTCACAAAGCTTCAACATACAAGCTTCAACAACAAAAGAAAATTCAAAGAACTTAGCGAAGAAGGCTTTGGTGTATTTAACACAATACGTTGAAAATGAAGGAAAGCTTATTTATTGATATATCCCCGATAAGTTACAAATATGTACATATACTTGAGTCAAAATAAACAACAAACAGAGGGACCCTTCACAAAGGTGGCTTAGGAGAAGTCTCAGCAGTCGGTAGAGCCCCAGAAAGAGAAGGCACCGGAGGGGGATCATTCGGAGCCTCAGTACTGGACAGAAAAACCTAGAGAGGGAGGAGGCATCAGAGGTTGATCATTTGGAGCTTCATTACGCGGTACACAAATCTCTGATGATCAAGTAACCCAACCTGAAGGCAAAAACATGCCTTTGGAACAAAACCCACAAATTCATCTGGTCAAGCTTCCTCTTCTTCATGTTTGTTAGCATAGTCATGTGCGAGCCGGTGCAACTGTTTATTCTCATGCTTGAGCCCTCTAATCTCCTGTTTGAGACTCATCACTTCAGCCGCCAATGATTCAACTTGGCGGGAGTTCAAATAGGCGTTGGGCCATATTAGACACAGAACCTGCACACTGAACACTGAGAGCCAGAGAATCCTTAACAGCCAACTCATCAGACCGTTTGGAAAGTAGTCTGTTATCTTTAGGAGTGAGAAGGTTCCTGGCCACTACCTCAACGGTCATATCATTCTTCATCACAGAATCCCCAACGGTAAGAGGACCAGTAGGGGAGACGAAGGATAGACGCCATATGTTGTCTGGAGAAGGCGAGGCTGCCTCTTCAACAAGGTTCAAGTCAAAACGACGGTCGGATGGGCCATACATTTTCAAAGGTGTTGAAGAGAGGAGGTCGAACAAATCAAGACCTAGAAGTGCAAGAATGGAGCTTCTACTGGTGGATATTCAAGTGTGCTTTGGAACTTAATGTCAGCCCCTATAAAAATCTGCACTCGACGAAGCTTCAGAAATCGAAGAGGCGCCTGCTCAGAAATCGAAGAGGCGTTTGCTTTCTCAAAAGCTGGGCTGCTCAGAGACCACGAGGGTTGATCTCAGAAATCGAAGAGACGTTTGCTTTCTCAAAAGCTGGGCTGCTCAAAGACCACGAAGGCCGATCTCAGAAATCGAAGAGGCTTGCTTTCTCAAAAGCTGGGCTGCTCAGAGACCACGAGGGCCGATCTCAGAAATCGAAGAGGCACCTACTTTTCCAGCCTTGTCAGCACCTGTCACACGCACACTCAGCTTTGCGGAAATTATGGGCATTCTGTCGAAGATTTCTGGCGAAGTAGAAAGCACATGAATCGTACTGTTCAATCACCCACTTCCCACACGCAACAGTAACTCATGGGTACCACAGATACCTTTGCCAAAAGTTTGCCAAAGTTCTCTGACAAAGTTGAGACACACGTGAAGCTTGCAGCTCCCACTATCATCGCTCTGACCAAGAAGGGTAAAAGAATTGCAAAGAAACAACACTAACAAAGTTTAGACACATAAATTTTGAAGGTCTAGCTACCATATTATTACCCACAAGGGTAAAGGAACAGTACCACTGCTGGATAATTGGAAAGTCCCGGTGTGTCAACCTCTGTGCTTCGTGGAAATGTAGACTAGCAAACATGCCCAACCTTTACTCACATTCGGGAAAACACTCCCAACAGGATTGCTTGCTCCAAAATCGAAGAGGCACCGCCCTCCGAATCTCGAGAGCCAGACTCCCAACATGATTACTTTCTCAAAAATCGAAGAGAGGGTAAAGGAACAGTACCACTGCTGGATAATTGGAAAGTCCCCGTGTGTCAACCTTTGTGCTTCGTGGCAAGGTAGACTAGCAAACATGCCCAACCTTTACTCACATTCGAGAAAACACTCCCAACAAGATTGCTTGCTCCAAAATTGAAAAGGCACCGCCCTCCGAATCTCGAGAGCCAGACTCCCAACATGATTACTTTCTCAAAAATCGAAGAGAGGGTAAATGAACAGTACCACTGCTGGATAATTGGAAAGTCCCTGTGTGTCAACCTCTGTGCTTCGTGGCAAGGTAGACTAGCAAACATGCCCAACCTTTACTCACATTCGAGAAAACACTCCCAACAAGATTGCTTGCTCCAAAATCGAAGAGGCACTGCCCTCCGAATCTCGAGAGCCAGACTCCCAACATGATTACTTTCTCAAAAATCGAAGAGACATCGCTCTCCGAATCTCGAGAGCCAGACCCCCAGCAGGTTTGCTTTCTCAAAAATCGAAGAGGCATCGTTCTCCGAATCTCGAGAGCCAAATCCCCGACAGGACTGCTTGTTCGAAAATCGAAGAGGCACCACTTTCCCAACTTCAAGAGCTGGACCTCCTTGGATAAAGCTTGTCTGTAATCTTCACACACAACATCAGCTTTCCAGATACCACAGACCACTTTTTCAAAGTGCTCTGACAGAGTTAAAACATGTGAAGCTGGCAGCTCCCACTACCGTGCTATGACCAAGCAGGGTAAAGGAATAGCATTATTACTTGATGTTAGGGAGACTCCTATATATGTCGACCTCCATCCCTAACGGACAGGCAGACCTGCAAAAATGCTCAACCCTTTCTCTTATCTGAGAGGGCACTCCTAACGAAGCCTTTCGAAATATTCAGCTTTCTTTCCCCCCGATAATACCTCTGTAAACAAGCTATACTAGAGCAAGAATATCTCATATCATCAGGGTTAAAAGCAAGAGTATCCCATATCATGCTTTTTCCCTGTCTTTTCCTTTGGCCTTGTTCTTACCTGCAAGACAAAGAGAAAGAGAGCAATCAGTCAGCACTTGGAATCAAGCTTCCAGCCAGGAACTGACTGCCTGGAACCCCTTACCTGATTACTTACCTGGCATTGCTCTCGAGTACTCATCTTCAACATCTTATGCTTCCAGGGAAGATACCGCATCTGCCTGAGGAACAGATAGAGCAAGTGAGAAGGATACAAGGAAGCATGTGGAGACAAGCGTAACAGCACACGTGCCGATACATCCACTACTCTGTCAAAAGCAAAAGTATCCCATATCAGCAGGGTCGAACGACGTACTCTAGATTTGATGGACTTGTTTTGACCCTCAAATTCTTCAGTCGGCCTTATACTCTGGAGGAAACCAGAAAACCCTCCAGCCCGGTTCAAGAATAAGCCTGTGGAAAGTTACTTCTTCAAAAGCAAAAGTATCCCATATCATCTCTTCTCATTTTTCTTCTCTTTATCCTTCATGCTGCCTGCAAGATAAGGAGAATGTGAACAATCAGCCGGAGCTCTGATTGCTTACCTTGTCTGTCACCTCTTTCAGCAGATCCCCTAGCCCGGCGACTTGGGGGACTCCTACTACATGGTTTGTATCACGCTTGACCAAGCCTGAAACTACAAGTAAGCTTCAAGTGAAATTGATACATTACCTTGTGCATCTCCACCAGTTACAGATACCACCCCTGGATGGAGGAAGAGTACTTCCAGAGAAGATGCCACATCTACCTATGAGACAGATAAGGCAAGTCAAGACGATACCACACTCCGGTACTTAGAAGTTTCGTGGTTACGAGATCATTCTCCCACAATATTTCCTAATGTCATTTGTACTAAATCATTCACTTGTACTCACTAAAGGAGAGCTTGAACCTATGTACTTGTGTAAACCCTTCACAATTAATGAGAACTCCTCTATTCCGTGGACGTAGCCAATCTGGGTGAACCACGTACATCTTGTGTTTGCTTTCCTATCTCTATCCATTTATATACTTATCCACACTAATGACCGGAGCAATCTAGCGAAGATCACAAAAAGTGACCGTTTTCGCTACCTAGGATCTATCTTGTAAGAGAACGGAGAATTAGATAGAGATCTCAACCATAGAATACAAGCTGGATGGATGAAGTGTAAGAGTGCATCCGGCGTGTTGTGTGACCGTCGTAGGCCACTGAAGCTCAAGGGAAAATTTTTATAGGATGGCAATAAGGCCAGCGATGTTGTTGTATGGCACAAAATGTTGGGCGGTGAAGCATCAACACGTACACAAAATGGGTGTAGCGGAGATGAGGATGCTTCGTGGGATGTATGGGCACACGAGAAAGGATAAGATTGGGAATGAGGATATCCGAGGTAAAGTAGGAGTAGCCAAAATTGAAGGAAATATGAGAGAAAATCGGTTCCGGTGGTTTGGACATGTGCAAAGAAGGCCTACTGACGCTCCGGTTCGAAAATGTGACTACGGGACAGAGGTTCAGGGCCGAAGGGGTAGAGGAAGACCTAGGAAAACTTTGGAAGAGACCCTAAGAAAAGACTTGAGTACTTGGATCTAACAGAGGACATGACACAAAACCGAGCGCAATGGCGTTCTAGGATTCATATAGCCGACCCCACTTAGTGGGAAAATGCTTTGTTGTTGTTGTTGTTGTTGTATGTACAAATCTATCTAGCAAAAAGTCCACTGCAAAGAGCATGATTGCCATCTTAGGCTTATTCTAACTGAATTGCCAACAGGGATGATTTTTATTATCCTTTACAACCACAGAAACCACAGGACAAAAGGTGTGTCTTCGCATTACAATTAAGCAGAAAAGATAAAACAGACATACGATAGCACAACCACAAACTTTCCCAATATTTGGGTCTCATGCTTGACAAACTCATTTGCCTAATTTTTCCAGCATTTCTAGATAGTATTACCTCTTACTGAACAATTAAACATAAAATTTGACCATAGAGAATCATAGATTTGTAAGAACTTTTATCCAAAAAATGGAACACAGCTTCATGGCTATTAGGTAGCTATCTTTTCTAAGTCACATATATGTTGTCTGAATTTATTTTCATAGCATGAGTTTATCATTTATTACCACATATACTAACACTGAGCAGCTTATGAATAAACAACTTCCTTGAAAACATAATGGATAAGTTCCATGTTTGACCTAACATCAAATTATTACTATCTACATAAAGAAATATTATACTTTTACAGAGAATACTAAAAGCAAACTAGAATTTCATATAAGCGGAATTTTATAGTTGCACAAAGTTACATAATAGATTTAATAGGAAAACAAAGTCACAAGCAGTCAAAATACCAGTATTAAAATCTTCAGGAAGTGTGTCAAAGCACATCTTGTATTTTGAATCACAATTGCGCCTCTCCTTCATGCTCCACAACAACAACATTGTCTCAGGAGGAGTAATGCCTTCAAACTTCTCTAATACATGATACTGCAGTAAAAAAAAGAGGTAATATATTGGACCACATTTCTTGTTCATAATGCCCCTCAATATGTATTGGACCCAACAGACCTAAAACCTACTCTAGCTCTGAGCATCATTACCTCAGCAAGAACAAGGGAAACAGTACAGTTGCATCACTATGCTTATATATCAAGACATACAAGAGAGAGAGAGAGAGCAGCATCAGACTAGTCTAGACGGAAATCTGACAACAAAAATGTTGTATACAGGGGACAAGGATTCATATTAGGCACTATAGAGAGTAGCCTATTTATGCTTACAAGATGAGTAAAGTTGGATCACGACTGTGATAAAGATCAATTTTCTCAATGGCTGAATTGGTAACTTAATGTGGCTTGGGAAAACAAACTCCACATGTGGGAAGAATGATGCTCAAACTCCACATGTGGTAGGTAAACATATGTTTATAAAAATTGATCATCATCCACATCTAGAGCCATTTATTACTTTCATATTAGAGCAGTACACCTCTTGCTAGATGTGGAGTCAATGTAGGTTCACTTTAATTTTTCTGTTTCCCCTAATATATTTTCAGAAGCCTCTTAACTAAACCCAGAGGTAACAAATGCTGACAAATTAAAAGTATTAAAAACGTTTCTCAAGCGGTAAAACATACCATATCAGCTTGCACAAGCTCCTCAGAAACTATTAAAGACATTGGGATCTCCAGAGCAGTATCTCCAACTTTCAGATTGTCTGCAGCTATGGCTCCTCTGCCAGCCCCTTCCACATCTATTATGATGAATGAAGAACAAAAGACATCATATATTCAAGGCTAGTTTCCTTCTCTTGTGCAGGAAAACCCCCTCAAAAGGAGAAAGAATAAACAATCATACCAGCAGAAATCACAGCAGTGAAAAGTTAAGACTTACAAGCGATCTGCAACCTTGTTTTAACACCACTGTTCTCACACCTTCGTAACAGTTGCTTTTGTTTATCAGAGTTGTAGCCTTCTACAATTGCAGTCTTCGAATTGTGCTCGTCAGAAGACCAACAAATCATATCAACAATAGCATTGTGTAGTTCTTGCAGGACACTCTTTTGCATGCCTGCGCCTCATTATAGCCCATTGTTTCATCATTGGTCTGCTAATCATATATGTGATCTAGGTACTATCAGGCAGTTGTAATTTCTAAAGTCATCTGTCTACCCTTATGTGCCTAAAAAGTCCAAGAAGTTATCAGAATGAGTTTGAAGGATCTCAAGATGGATTCATCAAGCATCAAAATGGACAAAATTTCTAGGCCTCATATTGCCGAAGATAAAAACAATTCTGTTTTGTTCTAGTTGTACAATATATTCCAGTAATAGACTCTGGGCATCCTTCAGACTAACGACCATTTGATTTAAAGAGCATAGTGACAGACTACCTCAGTTGATTCTATGATTGTTGCTATCTGAAGCATTACTCCCAAAGAGGTACTCAGCCAATCAGGATCTGAAGACCTTTTAACATGGATTTGCTGCCTGGTATTAAATCTCTTGTAGCAATTTCTGCCAGAAAATGAGAAGAAGAAAAAACAATTGTTAAAAGGATGATGGTAGAAACAACTCAGCTAGCTCATCATAAGCACAAAAAAACCACCAGACACTAATTAGTACGCAAGAACAAGAAAGATAACTAGCAACGGAAACGAAAATTTTTACAAATTGTAAAATGGATATATTGACGGTTGTTGATTGTTTAGTTTTAACCCTATTTTAGAAACTGCCTAAATGAAAAAGATTCTGAGATAAAATAATGCACAGTGATTAGTTTGGCATTTCTTACTTTACTTAACATTGTGCCTCCAAAGATTCACAAATACGTCCTACATTTAAGACTGAGAACCAGAATCTCATTGACGAAAAGGGTCATTTGACAGTTTCTCTACTGTGCGTACCATTCCATTCTAACATTTCTATTATTAACGATCATTACGACTTGGTATGAGTCCGTCAAAAATATATTTGTTGTTCCTCACCTTCTTTTTATCAAAAAGTGGGTCACTTTCAGATAGCTCCAGGACAATTGAGCAGTCTTTATCCAACTCCATGGAATCAAAAGATGACGACGGCTGCAAATAACAAATAAAGCATCCAAAACCATTTATCCCTTAGATGATCAAAATAAAAAAGAACAAGAAATGCATACACAATTAAGTTTAACTAGTTTACACATCCATCAAAAACCCAATGACTAAACGCACACATTTTGTTCAATATATATATCCAACCTAGAAGCAAAGCACATTTTTCACCTAACTTACATAAAATTGTGGTATATTAAAGCTACAAAAGAGAAACCCACCAATAAAAACAGTAAAGAACACAAACCCAACAGAGCTACAAGTTTACTATATCAAATTGTGTGTATCTAATGTACAAAAAAAAAAAAAGCCCTAAACAGGGTTTTGTCTGTTTGGTTGCTGGGAAATTGTCAGACATAAAACAAATCCAAGAATTTCAGAATGCGCACAAGGAAAGTGAAATTTCAACAACGTAAAAGAAAGCAGTAAGGTTGGAGGATTCTAAAATCTTTTAGTTGACTACATCTAGATTTGAATGGATTCTAAAATTCTTTAAAATATTTTAATTGACTAATCTTTTACAATACTCTCAAATCTGAATTTGACTACACCCCAACGGAATGAAATAGTAGTAAAATAGTAAGGGTTTACTATATCTAATTTTCTAGAATTTGTAAATTTTCTTGTTTGGTTAACCTAAAAGAACAATGGAATTGAATACAGAATTTGTTATTTTTAAACTCTCAATCATAGAAATTGAGAAATGACACTTTTTTACATGGAATTTAAACTTGGGATTTGGAGGTCCCAATTTCCAAGTTTTTTTTCCACGCGGAAATTCTAAATTTCTATGTTTATGAATCCAAACAAGAGAATTGGTGCCTATCAATTTATAAATTCTGACTTTTACCAAAATTCCATGTTTATTTCCCTCATCCAAACATAATGTTAATTCGTCTATTCTAATAAATTGAAAAAGATTAATGACAAAAAAATTAATAAGAATGTGTGAAAAGTAGATATAGATGTGTGAATAACACTACACTATTTCTTTTGAAATTTTTTGGATCTACATGATCTTTCTAATTTGACTTTGGATTTACTATAAATAAATATACTAGACATGATGAGTAATAACACAAAATTCCTGACCCCTTATCTTCTCTCTGCCGCACCTATTTTTTCTTTCTCACATCTAAATTTTAGGTCTTTCTTTCTCACATTTAAATTTTAGGTCACAACATATTACCAACACGTTTTTTACGCTCCGTTAAAAAGAGTTTTTTCCATCTTTAATCAGGAAAGTATTACATTTCAATCATTGTTATTGTGATTAATTTTTTTCATTGAATTAATATACTTGCTATTGATTCAGCTTCGTCTTTTTATTGAACTTGATACAATGCATTGAAGATGGAAATCCGACCTTACAGGAGGAACTCTGACAATTCTGTTTACAATATTCATCACTGTATTCTAGATTCTTCTAAAATACAGCCTAAACTTTTGATATTTTTTTCAACCTGATTGAACCCTAACGTTTCACTATTCGAATTATAGATTCTGCTTAAATTAGCATTATATGGTGAATTGAATATGCTTAAAAGGAAAGAAAAAAACCTTAATATCACATTCAAGACGCAGCTGGAAGCCACGACTCTACCAAGCCGCCAAGCCAATGTAGCCAGCAACTCCTGGCCCCAACACCCACAGAAACGACAACGTTGAAATTACCTTCTTCCTCGTCCAGTCTACCCTTCGATAGCATCGAAAACCACCGTGCCCAAAGTCGAGGCCCATCACCAATTCTCGGTGAAAATGAAATTTCCGCACCACATCGACATTCCTCAAGGGTTGGGCTGCAATTCATAGTGCCTGTGAACCACCCTACACCACCTATGCCAGCATCCCAAAGTGATGCAGACAATTACATTTAGACCCTTATATGATATATCTATTATCTAGCTGGCATATTGTATGTCTTTTCCCAATAGTTACAGTAGGATGTAGAGCACCAAATCATTAGGGTTTCCATTTCATTCTACTAAATATCTGTAAGGTTGCACCTCTTTGATACCTATGAGAAATATGACAGCAACTTTATCTTTGATTTCCTTATTGCATTTACTTCTAGCTTAATTTTCTTGAAAAGATCATACCAATTTGGCACCAGAGGCAGGTTATGGCAAGAAAAAACCTAGCTCCACCGATGGAATTGAGTTTTGCGACAGTAGCCATGGACACCCAAACAGAACATCTCACCACCCAACTCTATGCAATGCAAGATACAATAACGACGCTATCCACACACCGGGATGAGTTTCAAACCGGCATGGCGGAGTTGCAACGATCTATCACAATGTTGACAAATCAGCAAGCCAGTTTCAGACAACTCTGCAAAACCAACAGTCTGACCTCCGACGAACGATGTTGGAGGAGATTTGTCAGATTTGAGTCGAAACAAGGCCGCCGTTGAAGGAGAAAACATCATCGGTCCCGACTTTTGGATCGATTTCTTTGCCACCTTCGTTCACAGTGTTAGGAGTGACAGTTATCCCACCATCAAGCCCTATTTCTGCAAATCCCATCCCATCTTGGGTTACGCCACAACTTTTTCACCTTCTTCCAATCAATTACCACTGCACCCCCACTTGACCTACAGAGCATCTCCTTCTACCACCAGATATAGCCCTAATCACACATCCATTCCAAATTCCATACCCTACCCCTCACCATATTTAAACGCCACCCTTCCTCCATACCCTATAGCTGCAATACCATTATCAACATTACCAAATTACCAATTTCATTCCCATGCTAGCCCATATGGTAACCATATGTTCCAATTAAAACCAACACCCCAAGGATTACATAGTGGGATGAAACCCAAGTTGGATTTGCCTAAATTTTCTAGTGATGATCCATTGAGTTGGCTTGCCATAGCTAGGAGATTCTTGGCCTATCATGAAGTTTCGGGGCATATGAAGGTGGTAGTGGTAGCAATGCACCTAATCGGAGACGCCACCTTGTAGATGAGCTCTTTTGAATCACGATCCCAAAGCAACAATTGGGGGAAATTTGAAGAGGAATTGCTCAAGCGATTTGGCTTAGGCAATCATGCGAGTTTCACGGCTCGGTTATCTCACATTCGACAAAATGGGCCTTTGGAAGATTATATAACAGAGTTTACTCGCTTGTCTTGCCGGGTACCTGATTGGACAGATGACCAACTTAAGGGTGTGTTCATTGGTGGGCTGAAGGAAGAACTGTAACATGATGTATTAGTTCAATTTCCCCATTCACCATCTCAGGCCATGGAATTAGCTCAAATTTACAATGTGAAAACCCAAAATATTCAAACCTTTAATCGTTCCATTAAGCCAGCTCCATCTAATCCCCAGAACTTCTAGAACCATAAATTTAGCCCCTCCACTAGCTTCACAAGTTCCTCTTACAAACCAACAATTTTTCACAAAATTCATCTCTCCCCACCAAGAATCCTGCTCAAGCAGAATACCAAGAAAATAGGAGAAAGAACGAGTGTTTTTTTGTCCAAAAACTTATGCCCCTAATCATAAGTATGCAAGGTCTCAATCCCAAATACTGATGATGATGATACTTGTGATTTAACAAATAAGGAAGAACCTATTTCAATGTGTTCCCTCACCGGATCCATGTACCCACGAACAATGAGACTTGAGGGTAAGGTTGGGAATCAGGTAAGTCAGTTAGTTCATTAATTGTGGGGTAACTCATAATTTTTTAAATCCGGTTGTGGCAAAGAAAGCGGGACTGAGAATCAATTTTGCCATTAACAAGCGCATTATTGTCGCCAATGATGCAACTCTTACAACTAAGGGCTTGGCACATGATGTAATGGTGGAAATGCAAGGCTATACTTTAAAAAGAGATTTTTTGTTATTAGCAGTATCAGGCTGTGACTTGGTTCTAGGAGCAAAGTGGCTAGAATCTCTTGGCATGATAGGTTGGCATTTCCTGAATAAGACCATGGATTTTGATGTTGATGGAGTACACTATCGTCTACAAGGACAAACTTCCTTTGATGCCTCTATAGTTAATTCATTTGTGATGATGAAACTCCTTAACCAAGAGAAAATGGGGGTCATTGCTCAGTTGGTATTAGTCCTATATGTTGAGCCACCTACGCCTTCAGTCTCACCTGAGATTAGAGAACTCATTGATCATTTCAAAGACTTGTTTGAAGCGCCAACATGCCTCCCTCTTGAACGGATGTTCGACCATCGAATTCCCTTGATCCTTGGCACTTCCCTAATCAATGTGCGCCTATACAAGTATCCGCACTTTCAGAAAATTGAAATTGACAATATTATTAAGGAAATGTTGGATGCAGGTGTAATTCAAGCTAGTAATAGTCCATACTCTTCCCCAATTCTTTTGGTTAAGAAAAAAGATGGCTCTTGGCATCTTTGTATTGATTTTCAAGCATTGAATGTTGTAACCGTGGAAGATTGATATCCAATTATGGTAATAGATGAATTGTTGGATGAGTTGCACAGTTCAACTATCTTCTCAAAACTGGATTTACGATCTGGTTACCACCAAATCAAAATGAATGCGGAGGACATTTCAAAGACTACATTTTGTACTTATGAAGGGCATTAAAAGTTTCTCATGATACCGTTTGGGCTTACCAATGCCCCCATCAACTTTTCAATCACTGATGAATGATATCCTAATTTATAGTGCCAACATGTCAGATCATCTTCGACATATTTATGAGGTTTTCTCTTTGCTGCGCACTCATTCATTGAAACTGAAAATGTTGAAGTGTTCATTTGGGCTGAGTAGTGTGGAATATTTGGGTCATATCATTTTTGCAAGTGGAGTTGCAGTTGATCCACAAAAAAATACAAACTATTCGTAATTGGAGTAAACCCCATAATGTGAAGGGCCTAAGAGGTTTTTTAGGTTTGGCCCGTATTATCGCAAGTTTGTGTGGGACTTTGGAAAAATTGCTCGCCCACTTATTGATTGATGTGTTGAAACTTGACAACTTCAAATGGACTCCAGCCTCTGAAGCAACGTTTGAACAGCTTAAGCTAGCCTTTTGTTCCATTCCAGTGATAGCTTTACCAGATTTTAACAAGCAGTTTACGGTGGAATGTGACGCTTCGAGCATTGGAATTAGAGCAGTCCTCTCATAGGACAAACATCCCATTGCATTTTTTAGCAAACCACTGTCCGGATCCAACTTGAATATGTCAGTATATGATAAGGAGATGCTTGCGGTTATGTATGTGGTCTAAAAATGGAGGCCTTATTTGTTGGGACAA